AATTATGTTGAATATCTGTCAGCTGTTAAATTTAACTACACAATTAGATAATACCAGTTTAGCTCAACCAGTGACCAAGCAATGCTTCATGTTGTTCAGTCTGTGTGTAAAAAGAGCATTGGCAATTACAGAAAACACACTGAAGAAAACATGATCAGCTCAAAGTGGAGGAATCATTTTTGGTTCCAAATTTGTATAAATGTCACTGGTAGTCGCTGTATGAAGAATTATTGGGTATAACATGTCACAGTTTACTTTATTTTGCTCTCCTCACTTACATTAGTTGATAGTGTCCTAGTAAAAACATATAAAAAATGATATCTGGTGTCTGAATAATTTTTGGTTTGACTGTACAAAGACGGGTCACTCATATTACGTAAGAATTGGGGAAAAGTGCATTGCGCAATATGGCAAAAATAAGTCCCGCATTCTACATAAAATAGCCAATCACCGAGTGGTAAAGTCTTTTTTTGGTAAAATCACATGGTAAAGTCAGTTTCCTTGAAGAGCAAAGAATGAAAATGAAATATTAAATGCATGTGTAGTTTGTTGATATCGAAGAGTTCTTCAAGTGCGTCTACATCTCCCATCATGCACTGCTGTTCCAGTCACATGCATGTTTGGCGATGCAAATGCGGGTTGTCTTTTATCTGCAAACATCATGAAATAAAAATGGGATGCACTGGATTGCAGAATGCTTTCAGTCAAGCGCCGGCGCTGTAATCTACTCTGACAGTTCGTGGACTCTCTTCTGAGCGCTCAAACATTGCGGATGAAATTGATTTCTTAATGCAGAGAGTCCAGCAGACGTTGTTAATATCCCATTTGAATCAGTGCTGCATCATCTCATGTCTGATGCACACTAATATGCATTTCTTCATCTAAAACCACTGTGCATTTAAAATAGAAACACAATTCCATTATTTAAATGAGTCGAAATGAGGATACGGACAGAGAGAAATAAAGAATGGTGAACAATACATCTTTGTCTTTAACAGGACCAAAAACAAAGAAGAGTTAAAGCAAACGAGTGAACGAGGTTTCTAGGACAGAACTTGATGGTTAGATAACATCGTTCTCTCTCATCAGCATTTTCAATGTACCAAAAAAGAGAAACTAATTTGAAGAGAGAGGAAATGTAGCATGAAATCTCCATTCACTCTGACTTTACATGGGATTTACATGACGATGATTACGCAGAACAGTCAAAACGAGTCTTCGAGATACAATGAAATCATAAACTAGCACGTGATAACTCAGAAACAATAGATTTTTCTCTTAATGTGAAAAAAACATGAAATATTAAAAAGTAAATACTAAAGACTAGACTTTTATATTAATATAGAAGTACACATGCATATTATTATTAAGTTGTATTATTCAATCTTATATATATAATTAAATATAAGTTGTATATAGTGTTTTAAAATTATGAAAAAGTAAATATTAAAAACGACTAATATATTATTATTATTAATACTATTATTACATATACTAATAAATGAATATATTACTTAATAATAATATATGAATATGTTCATATAAAATATTATATATTAATATATTACTTAATAACAATATATGAATATGTTAATATATACTATTATATATTAATATATTACTTAATAATATATTATTAATATGTCAATATATAAATGTATATATTAATATTAAATTATTCAAAATTATATATACAGACTTTGAAAAATAAAATGAAAAAAAGTGAAGGAAAATATTAAAAAGTAAACTTTTTTATACTATAGAAGTAGTCTTTAATATATATATTAAAAAAGTAAATATTAAAGACTATTCTTATACATTATTATTATTATATATATTACTATATTAATACTTAATAATATATTAATATATGTTAATATATGTATATATATATATACATATTATATTTATATTTTATTATTAATTTATGTTATTTTAAGTTAACTAACAATAATTCAATTTTAGTTCAATAAATTGTTCTGCAAAATAAGACTCAATTCCAACAGGAAATACATCAACACAGAAAATAAACAATTTCATGTCCAAAACCATCTTTTAATAAAATTTCATACCAAAAATATTCATATGTGATTTGACTAGAGCATATGTCTCTCTCCGAACTGTCGGAAACGCAGAGTGAGGGTTTGATTTGAATCAAGTCCAAACATGTTGTCAGTCCAATGTTTTTTTGGATAGTGAACATGTTGAGTATGTAGTGTAGTGCACTGGTTCCTCATACTTGCACGAGTTCTCGTCTTATTGTGGCGATGATAAACCTTTTTTATGAAGTTTGTCAATGCTGCTTTAGCAAATGCAATGTTCTGCTTTGTGTTTGATGTGAAAACGAGTTTGCGTGCGTCAGAGTAACTCGATAAAGAGTTTTTATACACTAGTAATATGTGCATGATTGTACGTGTTTTTGCATATACTCCACATTCACGTGTCTCGTGTGTGTATGTGCATGTCCACACGCGTGACGCCTATATGTGCACAGCTGCATACATCCAAACTAAAGACTCCTGGATTCAATTAATGTGCAAAAACACACACATTCACACGTGCATGAATATACACAGCATATGTCAATTACACACATACACACGCCCACGCCAGGTAATGCATTCTGGGAATAGATTGGAATCTGGCCTCTAAATGCTTTAGATTTATGTACATTTAATTTGATTAAGCGTAAACAAACACACATGAGCCATACACACACACACGTGCCCTCCATAAGCGCACGGCACATTCCAGAGGAAAATGAAACACAGGATTGTGTCAGTGTCACAGAGTTTAAATGCATTAGCGTGTGTTTGTATGTGTCGAGGAGCACTTCCAGCGGAGGAAATACCACTGGGAATGAAATGTGCTAATTGTTCCCTTTGTCCAGACGGCATTATTATTATTATTATTATTAAAATCCACCAGGATTGAACCAACAATCCCGGCTGGCTGAAAGGCTTCTGACTTGTGTTGACTGGCTTTAGATCTACTCGGACCAGGTATAATTGCACTGGACTTTGTGCTGCGTGAGGCCGGACTCTTCCGTAAGCTCGCTGAAGAACAATGTCATTTAAACATCATGTAAGTTAATTCACTCTTTGTATTCTCCAATCCAATTAAGCATGCAGCGTTGCGATAATGAGGGATTTCGAGCTGCCTGCGCATTACATGCAACATTCAAATTAAATTCAAACTGACACTTCCAATAAAAGGAGAGGATGACGGACAAGCAGGAGTAATTGGTTTTCTGGGACAATGAAAATGAAAAGAAGGATAGAGAGTGAGAGAGAGAGAGCAACATGTTTTTGCCAGCAAATCACAGTGAACAAAAGACGTCAAGATGTGAAGTCAAAATGCAGAGATTTGTAAACACTATTGAGACGCACGGAAAACATTCACAAATAAAGAGAGGAAATAATTCTCAAAGCTCTCGTCTGCCATTTATGCTCCTTTATAACGCGCAACAGATGGCTCCGGAAATAAAAATCACATTAATTATTTTCAATATATATAAACCTTTCAGACCTGCCATGAGCTCTGAGGTCATTCACTGATGATGTATGATCATCTGTGGCCAGAAAATATAATTATGATAATCATTTGTTGGCAGTGCAACACTGTGGGTCGGCAAGTCTCTTCTGCTCATCAAGGCTGCATTTATTTGATCAAAAATACAGTAAAAATTGTGAAATATTATTAGAATTTAAATCATCTGTTTTCTATGTGAATATATAATAAAGTGTAATTTATTCCTGTGATCAAAGCTGAATTTTCAGCATCACTACTCCAGTCTTCAGAGTCACATGATCCTTCAGAAATCACTCTAATATGAGGATCTGATGCTCATATTAGATGAGCAATGTTGATAATAGTTTATTTTTTTGTGGAAACCCTGATTTATTTTATTTTTCAGGATTCTTTGATGAATAGAAAGTTCAAAAGAACAGCATTTATTTATTTTGTAACATTATGTTGTCACTTTTGAGCAACTTAATGTGTTTATGCACAATAAAAGTATTAATTTCTAACTTTTTAAAATCTAGAGTAAATCTTAGTTAAAATCATTGACTGCAAATCGATAGCCATCACTAATGCTTTACAATAAGCTAATGCAATGGTGAAATGCATGCATTAATCTCAGTTAATAGTAATTTCTGCATATATTTTTACCATTTCAAGGTTCATTCAAATGAATATTGCTTATTTTAAGCAAACATAAGTTAACTATTCACTCTAAACAATGCTGGGTTGTTTTAACCCAAAATTGGGTCAAATATGGACCAACCCAAATGTTGGGTTAAAAATGTAATTTAAAATTTTAACCCAACTTCAACTTTCACTTTCAACTGTACATTTTTTAATTACATTTTTAACCCAACATTTGGGTTTGTCCATATTTGACCCAAATTTGGGTTGAAATAACCCAGCATTTTTTAGAGTGGGGTTGTTTTAACCCAAAATTGGGTCAAATATGGACAAACCCAAATGTTGGGTTAAAAATGTAATTTAAAATTTTAACCCAACTTCAACTTTCACTTTCAACTGTACATTTTTTAATTACATTTTTAACCCATCATTTGGGTTTGTCCATATTTGACCCAAATTTATATTGAAATAACCCAGCAGTGTAGGAAAGAACATGTTTATGATACATAATGCATTAAGAAAATGCATGAGGAAAAATAACCGGCTGTTAAATAACGTGCAGCTTAATGCCGATCGCTCTGTAAAACGCCAGATCTCTGGAGGAAACGTTGATGTACCTTTGAGTGGTACTTCGCTTCCTCTTCCTGGGCGGAGCTTGAGGGGGAGGGCGTGGCTGACTGACTTCCTGACGATGACGGGGAACCGTGTGTAAAGGAGCCTTGGCCAATCTGAGAGCTGAGCTGGGACAGGGCGCTCATGGGGTGGGGCAGTATCCGGGCAGATCTGTTTATCATGGGGCTGTGGTGGGCACGGGGGTAATAACTGCCCGCTTGCCCCGCAAACGCCGGCATCTAGGGTGAGAGAAGAAGACCAGACTTTACTACGAGTAATTTTGAAAAGAAATAACCAATTGAGGCCGTTTCGCCTTTAGTCTTTTCTCTTCTACAGAGACCCTTTAAAAAGATATTCGCTTCTTCCCTCACCCTTTGCAGCAGACGTCTGATTATTGGTGGCTAGTTAAGGTTAAGGTGAGTTAACTCTATGATGACTACAAAACAAAGCTCTTATCAATGCACTGACCTAATTTAAGGAGGCCGTAGATATATGACGCTATATATGCAAAATTGCAATGCAACTGAACCCTGGGGTTTTGAAAGTGTCCTTTATAGTTTCAGCCTGACTTATATCATAAACAGATTAGAGAGAGTGATCTAGATAGATAAGCATCATTTACTGTAAGTCATCAACCGCACTTCTCTCAGCATGAATTTCAAAGCTACTTCAGAAAGCCACAAGGCCATCGGCGGCGCTCAACCCGGAAGAATCCCAAAGCAACCACATTAATGACTTGACACTCAAAAACAACAGCAAGAATTCACCACATAAGACATAAATCATATATATGCATAAACAATTGAGTAAATAAGCAGTAATGCAACTACTGTACATACAGGAGAGCGAATTGTGGTCGAAATGCAATTTGCATGGTGCAACTGTACATTAATATCTTCTTAGTGCATTTTGCACCTGGTTAAACCTGATTGTGTTTAATAAGATGCTGAAATACTGCGCAATGATGCAACTCTTTATTTTATGCATACATTAGTACATTTATACCATGCCATATATATATATGCAAATCCTCTTTTTCAAACCAGGCATTGCTAAATTAAGTTAGTTAATTTGCTAAAAACGCACCGGTTCTAATTTCTCTCAAATCACAGAATCCTCTCAAACTGAGCATCTGTATTTTAATATTTCACCATGTTTCATTTCCGTGGCTGCTCTTCAAAAAGCATCTCATCAGGAGATGTGAGCGGATGTCGACGGCAGGACTGCGAACGGATGTGTTCATTTACACATAAATAGGAATACTTAGCCAGCCACAAATCAAAAAGAAAGCCAAATAGAGAAAGTTGATGAACTTGCATTTATTAGCTCCATGCAACATTCACGAGTCGAGCTGAATTAAACATCAACTGTGTGCTTTTAAAATGATTCATGAAGTCAGAGAGGTCTGGGCAGAGTAAACATTACCGTAACGCCTGTGATCTTAGCGAGAGCTTGTAATAGTGCTAATTAACCTCTCAAGACTTGCTAATAGATGAAATTTAAAATGAAAGAGCAAGAAAACGCGAGCAGTTTGAATCAGCCTGGAATATACAGGACACATCCTACTATGTGTCGGTACAAAAGCAGACCTGAAACAAAGGCTTTCCTCATTTAGACGTTTCAGATGTGGAATACTCCACAGCCCCTCCAGAAGCAGCGCAAACACAACCTCCAACCTCAAATCAAATTTCAGCAACACCATTAGTTCAATTTTCAAATGCAGCGAAATAGCTTTAATGTTGGGGAGAGAGAGGGAGAGAGAGAGAGAATCCATTAATTTTCCATTTTCCGTGGAGTTGCTCTTTAAGGGCTTTCACAAACCAAGAAGCATTGAAAAACCAATTAATCAAACATGAATGGCCTATCATAGCGACGGCAACCCCATTTCCATAGCAACCGCTGCCGGCCAAGAGCATCACCCTCTTCTTTAATCTGGGCGCACAACACACAAAAGACAAGAGAGAGAGAGAGAGAGAGAGAGAAGCCAATGGGCTCACTGAGCGAATTTTCATATTACGGCCCAATTCTGTGATTGGAACCTTTGTTGGGACAAAAGGTACCGGGACGACTCCGCAGTCAGCCGCGAAAACCACCAATCTATCATAGTCTATTCTCTCTCTCTCTCTCTCTCGCTCGCTGAATAATTTATGGTATTTGTTTCCAAAGCATCATTGCAGCGCCCTCGTCCCGTTTGAAATTCTGAATATCATTTCAATAGTGTTGACTCGAATTACTGGCCCATTTCTTGCTGAGAAAAGGCCGTGCAAAAAAAAATATATAATAAAATGAGAAAAATGCACACGATTAACTGTGTTTTATCTCTCTTTCTGTTTAGGGACCTGCCAAATACACAACCAGATGAAATTGTCAGGAAAGCTCAACAAAATAACCATTTGCATAGATTAGAACTGCACAATTCTGTCTAAATTGCTATTTTTATTTATTTATTTATTTAGCTTCAAACGTTCTCCCGCAATTCTGAACAGACAACTACACAAATTAACATGAGGTTCTCACAAAACGTTAATGGCTGCAGTCTATTTAAAATGTTTAATTACTCTGAGTAATTAAAAAAAATAGGATTGAGTGAATGATTCAATGACTCACTCATAAAGACTTCACTTGTGTCATTACTGGATGAATCAGCGTTTTTGAACGAATCTCTTGAATGAATGATTCAATGACTCACTCATAAAGACTTCACTTGTGTCATTACTGGATGAATCAGCGTTTTTTGAACGAATCTCCTGAATGAATGATTCAATGACTCACTCATAAAGACTTCACTTGTGTCATTACTGGATGAATCAGCGTTTTTGAAAGAATCTCTTGAATGAATGATTCAATGACTCACTCATTAAGACTTCACTTGTGTCATTACTGGATGAATCAGCGTTTTTGAACGAATCTCTTGAATGAATGATTCAATGACTCACTCATTAAGACTTCACTTGTGTCATTACTGGATGAATCAGCGTTTTTGAACGAATCTCTTGAATGAATGATTCAATGACTCACTCATTAAGACTTCACTTGTGTCATTACTGGATGAATCAGAGTTTTTGAACGAATATCTTAAATGAATGATTCAATGACGAATGCATTTTAACAGTCTCTTGTCGCCGCCTACTGGTGTAACGGTGTAATGACACAATCCTTTATTTGAAGCGCCGTGTTACTTTCAAAAGGTGATTTACTATATTTTGATCACTACCGTAGACATCAGTATTTACATCCGAACTATAACCTTTTATCCCAGTACTTCTGTGATCATTTAGAAATAATGAATTACCTTAGTAAAAGTATTACCTTTAAAGGTACAATATGTAAGAATTTTGTAATAAAATATCCAAAAAAAAATCACTTGAACAGTGTAATATATTTCCTGCAGTTGTGTACTTACAATATCCCAAAAGTCTCCAAAGATTTTTTATTTCAGAGAAATTCCAGTTTTAAAAAGTGGCCGTCCCGGAAAAAAATGTCGCCTGTCAATGACGCAATATCCGCGCTATCCTCGGTTTCCGTTCATACCGCCATAGCCATGACGTAACCATGGCGACAGACGTGGACAACTGCGTAGTGCGTAGCGTTTAGCGGCACGCAGTTCTTGTTTCTTTCAAACATAGACCATGGCAAGCAGACTTTGGCACAAACAAGGAGAACTAAAATGAGGATCAATATCAGCGTGGCGTTTTTGAGATGCCGAGAGCTAGCGTCCGCGACTAACTTGGACTCGACAGAGCTTCACGAGTCACGACAGCTTTATTAGACCGGTGAGCAAATGTACATAAAACAAATCAATGTTATATAACGTTAGCTCAACATGATGAAATGTTAGAATATGGTCAGTATGTTATTCTAATGTTGATCTAGCTGACTGCTAGTTTCGTATAGCAAACGAACTAACACGTAGTATAACATTATAACTTTCAACACACATTTAAATGCCGTTTAGTGTGATAGTGTAACGTTAGACCGAGTGAAGCAGCGCTGCGTTATCTCAAGTTTAATTCGTCTAATAAACTGACCTGTGTGAGTCATCCAGCACTCGCGGGTTCGGTAGAATTAAATGTCCTTATTCCTTTATATCCGCGGGACTCGCGTGTGATATCTGTCTCTTTAGCAATCGCGACCTGCTTCATACCACTGTAATGTTAAAAAACATGAATGTTTGCACTCATCCATAAACATTATTAGATCCATCAGCTTGACAGCAAGTCCCATCATTCAGCGCATCACTGCGTCATCAACCTACACCTGTGTTATTGTTGGAAACTGCGCCCTCTTGTGGCGAAAAAAACCTACATATTGTGCCTTTAAAATATATATTTTTTTAGTTTAGTTTATTGTTAACACTTTACAATAAGGTCTGTTCATTAACATTAGTTAAATACATGTGTTTATATGAACTAACAATTAAAAGTGCTTCTGACGGTCTGTTCACACCATAACCATAACCATAACTATAACGATTAATAAATCAGCGCTCACACTAGTGGACGACATCGTTCGGTTTGCTGCAGTTTTGTCGTCTGTCGCTTTAAATGCTCGAGCTCTTAAAAGCAGGATTGATTCTGATTGGCTGTCAGAGTTTTTATTATTAATCTGAAAGTATTTAGACTATATCGTTTCTCTGTGCCGTTATGGTTGTGCTGTGGTTATTGTTTATGGTGTGAACGGGCCTTAAAACATTTATTAATCTTAGTTAGTGTTCATTAATTTTAACTAATACATTGACTAGTATCTGTAAAGATTATTTAATGGACCCGAGCTAACATGAACTATCAGTGTTTGATAGTTAATAGTTTTTAACGTCAGCAAAGAAACTAGCACATGTACTGCTCATTGTTAGTTAATGCATTAACTAATGTTCAATAAGCTTTATTACAATAACAAATACACATAGATCAAACTCAGATCTGTAGAAAAGGAAATATTAAAAACATGCATGGAAAGAGATGTTTTCATCAACATTCACAGTCCTTTAAACAGAGTCTACTGTACCGTTTCATCTCTTATTTTAACATTAGACTTTTATTATTTTCTAAAGCCATTGCTCTCACATTTCACATTAAAATAAGCAATTCTAAGCGAAGGAAATCGGCAAACGAGCGAGTGTTTTGTGAGAGCGTGGCCGGCCCTGTTATTCCAAACCACATTTGCTTTCAATTTATTTGGAGTCACGGTTATAATCAAAAGAATAAAGACGAGCACCTTCAGCAAACGACTTCTCTCTTTA